TCCTGCGCAGGCGCGGCCTGCCTCGGACTTGATTACCGGCACGGCGGCACCCGTGCGCCATCCCTGACTACCACCACGACTTGCAGCGGGTACCTACGGCCTACTACGACATGCAGTACATACAACCGGACTACTACGACATGCATTTGGATCCTGCGCAGACGCGGCCTGCCTCGGACTTGATAACCGGCACGGCGGCACCCGTGCGCCATCCCTGACGACTACCACGACATACAGCGCGTACCTACGGCCTACTACGACATGCAGTACATACAGCCGGACTACTACGACATGCATTTGAATCCCGCGCGGGCGCGGCCTGCCTCGGACTTGATCACCGGCACGCGGCACCCGTGCGCCATCCCTGACGACCTCCACGACTTGCAGGGGGTACCTACGGCCTACTACGACATGCAGTACATACATCCGGACTACTACGATATGCATTTGGATCCTGCGCAGGCGCGGCCTGCCTCGGACTTGATAACCGGCACGGCGGCACCCGTGCGCGATCCCTGACGACTACCACGACACTGCAGTCCGTACCTACGGACTACTACGACAAGCAGTACATACAACCGGACTACTACGACATGCATTTGGATCCTGCGCAGACGCGGCTTGCCTAGGACTTGATCACCGGCACCGCGGCACCCGTGCGCCATCCCTGTCGCCTACCACGACATGCAGTGCGTACCTACGGACTACTACGACATGCAGTACATACAACCGGACTACTACGACATGCATTTGGATCCTGCGCAGGCGCGGCCTGCCTCGGACTTGATTACCGGCACGGCGGCACCCGTGCGCCATCCCTGACGACTACCACGACATGCAGCGCGTACCTACGGACTACTACGACATGCAGTACATACAACCGGACTACTACGACATGCATTTGGATCCTGCGCAGGCGCGGCCTGCCTCGGACTTGATCACCGGCACCGCGGCACCCGTGCGCCATCCCTGTCGCCTACCACGACATGCAGTGCGTACCTACGGACTACTACGACATGCAGTACATACATTCGGACTACTACGACATGCATTTGGATCCTGCGCAGGCGCGGCCTGCCTCGGACTTGATCACCGGCACGGCGGCGCCCGTGCGCCATCCCTGACGACCACCACGACATGCAGCGCGTACCTACGGACTACTACGACAAGCAGTACATACAACCGGACTACTACGACATGCATTTGGATCCTGCGCAGACGCGGCTTGCCTAGGACTTGATCACCGGCACCGCGGCACCCGTGCGCCATCCCTGTCGCCTACCACGACATGCAGTGCGTACCTACGGACTACTACGACATGCAGTACATACAGCCGGACTACTACGACATGCATTTGGATCCTGCGCAGGCGCGGCCTGCCTAGGACTTGATCACCGGGCACGGCGGCACCCGTGCGCCATCCCTGACTACCACAACGACATGCAGCGCGTACTTACGGACTACTACGACATGCAGTACATACAGCCGGACTACTACGACATGCATTTGAATCCCGCGCGGGCGCGGCCTGCCTCGGACTTGATCACCGGCACGGCGGCCCGTGCGCCATCCCTGACGACCACCACGACATGCAGCGCGTACCTACGGACTACTACGACATGCATTTGTGTATCTGTGCGGCTTACACCTGTCATTGCCAACACGGAAGCGACATTACGGGCTTGTGCGGGGCATGTTGAAGGGTCTAGGCTCTGTACTGTACTTGCGGATGGTCTGGGGTGCTGCTGACATGGGGATGACAAGCAGAAAAAGACAGCACCAATGCATTATAAAAAAATATATGTATTATGAGGCTATTGATACTTGTTTATTCTTCAGAATCTTCCGCTTCAATGTAGGCGTGCTCTACTCGGCGGCGCTGGCGTCTTCGGAGCGACCGTATCTCGTTTGAAGGAAGGTTAGTGGCCGGCTCTTATGTTGGTTTTCACGAGGTGAGAAACCGCACGTGACCATCAACTCGGCGATCTGCCAGGACGGTTCGCATTTGGTAGGTAGGTAGGTTGACCACTTAAGTCAGTTCCTGATGGCAAGACCCATTCTGCCTCACCAGCATCCTCTCCTTGAGCAGCTGCCTCGGTGAGTCGGGCCTTGGTGATGCGACCTTGTTGTACGGCATCTAACAGGCACTTAATAGCATCTCCGGTATTGGAGGCATTACCTCGTTGGACATGTACCCACGACCTCAGGTAATGGGAAGAAGGCTGGAAAGGCTGTTGGTGGGGCTGCGTCAGTGGGGGGCCCGTCGTGTTGGCTTGCCATCATTGAGGTGAGTTGGAGAATGAAAGCTAACCAAGAGTAGTTTAAATTGAAGTTAAAATTAAAGTTGAACGTGATGCTGATATTAACCTGAAAAAAACGACACGAAGCTAGAGTTTCTTTGTTTAGCGAGATGCGACTCTTCTTACGGGTAACGAATTTCACTCCGTATTCAACGCATGTCGGTTTACCTGTGGGCGACCAGCAGGCACTCGGACACTAGGAGTATCAGATCGGCGGCGTTTTTTCGTCACGGAACGATTGACTAGAGTCCTTTTTCCATCCAGCCCCGTGTAGTTCTTAATCTGCAGAGCAAAAAGCACGTGGATGCAGATTGCAAATTTAAAGTAGTACTTGCATCCGCACGAATTCGTACTCAAATCCACATGCCATCCTCCATCAGGCTGCCCAAACACCTCCATTCGCGCGTAATTCACACCCATCTGGGCCGACACTGGGGCTACTTCGCGGCTGCGTCCTAGTTCCGGAAGATAGATACGCTCACAGCCACGTGACATCACACGAATCACGTCTGGGCTTGGGGAAACAAGTAAGAAGTCGATGCTGGACCGGCTGGGAGTCATGTTCACAGGTTGCGAAAATCCTTAACCCTTGCGTTTAACTGCTGTGTGGCTTCAGGAGATTCCTTGAAGATTCTTGAAGCTACCGACTGGCGTCCGCAACAATCCACCAGCAGCTGGAACAGTGTTCCAATCTTATGTTTGGTCCGGAGAGTGTAGTCACGTTTGATCAAACAGTTGAACTGCTCCACCGGGTTGTTTGTAGTGGCGTATCCACTAGGGGTATGGAAGCATTGCCATCGCCAAAATGAACTTCGCACCCACATACGCTCAAAATAGCCTTGAAACCAAATCAGCTGCTCTTCTTCCGACCACTTGGTTAGAATCTGTATCACTTGTCCGTCATAGACATTTTGGCTATCCGTGAAATGGAGATCATAGATGTTCGCCATCACTTGCTTGGACAAGTGCTCCGGTATGCCCTTGAGGTTTTCGTGAACCTTGGCCATCACATGATAGAAACACATCAAGTATACAAATTCACAATGGACACCAAAGACTCGTTTCACTGCGTTCTGTTGGGCAGCTTCAGCATCGGCCATGACGAACTTGACCAACAGTTGGCGCCCACCAGACACGGAAGTAAAAACCCTGCGGAGCTCGACCAGCGCTGTCACGTAAATTTCCTCCAAACGTTGCGATGTAATGAAAAGTGCCACGAGATGAAACGAACGACACATGTCAGAGATCCCGCAGACAATGACAGGATACCCGACTTGGTTCAACCTAAACGTGGCATCCATGTGAAACACAAATGATTCTGGGTCGCGGGCATCACTCAGTAGAAGACGCTTCGTTGTCAATCCCACCAAAAATGGGTTTTCGTCAGAGCCATTCCCCACATCTGGTTTGCCGCGTGCGTCACGTTTCCATCCGAACGAAAATGGAGTTGTCTCTGAGATGGTCGGGCCATAAGCCAACTGGTCGATCTGGCCCAGAATTTCGTCGTAATCGTCATTACGGTGCAGATGTTTCTTTGAATAACTGCTGACGAACCACTGCACTTGATGTAGTGTCGGCATCTCCGTCTCCGTCAACCCAAATCACCGACCCATACCATTGCGAATCCGAGCGGGCTTCAACCCTTGCGTTGCCATTTCCCGGTCGTAGTCCTTGAGTCGTGGGGTTTGAGGGCCCCTCACCAGTGTCTTGTGAGCACCAGTCTCCATTATGGTGACGCGGTTAAGACTTTGGCACGTGAGCACCTTACCCTGCCACCGACACGCGTCAAATGGCGTGGCTGCTTTGCATGTTTCCGAGGAACAACGCAGTAGTTGGTACCGCATCTTGTGCGGCTTGGTCAGAGCACACACCACACATGGAACCCGATGACTCTTTACAATGATGAACACCTTCATGTCTTCCAAAAGCAGCTGGAAATCCTCGCGAGCCATGTCGCTGCAGATAGTCGTCCACTTGGTCGTTGTTGGCATCTTTCGTTGGGGGAGGGGAAGGAAGGCTTCAGAAATTCAGTGTTTTACTGAATGCAGGATCTTTGCTGTTAAGAAAGGATATAAAGGGTGGTGATTGGCTCACGGATTTTCATAGCACTGGCCGTGATTCGCAAATAATCACTGGTGTGTAGACGCCCTAGGTTAGTGTGTTTTGGCTAATGCAAGTGTGGCACACATATAGATAGTGTAGTGTGATGTGACATGGATGTGTCACACGAATATTGTATGTGTTATTGCATTGTTTGTGTGTCAGACCTTGGTTCTGTGTGATACTCCGGAAGTAACCGTCTGAATATAATCCCTTTTTTTCATTCACATGTTTTTTCTGTGCTGTTTTTGTTTTTTAGAGTGCGTTATTAACCTATCAAATGAAGCGTCGGATTTTTGTGTCGGGCACTGTGTTTTTTTTCTTTTACTATGGTTGGATGCTATTCAGTGGTGTCGGATTTCTCCGTCGTTGTCTGTAGAACTGGTGAGGTAGATTGTTTTCATTTCACAGTTATATGTGTTGTGCACAACATGGATGAAACGGGAGACAAATGAGTTGTGCTCTTGATTAACGAATTTATACAATAGCAATATTTGAATTACGTAAGTAAGTGATTATCAAACATTTGTCTTGATATTATGAGATTTGTGAGAGCTTTTCAAGTAACGGTTTTTACAGCAACGATTCTGACGGTCCTCCATGTCGGGACTCTACAGCCGTCGAGCGACTAATGAAAAGCGTGGTAAGAAGCCGGGCAAATCCGCTATGGTGGTCGTCGTGGACAGTTATCTTGAGTCCCCAAGTGGTGGTACAGCCTCCGATCTGTATCGAGCAGCGCGGAAACTCTCAGCACACAACGAATTTTTCGCTGCAAACCACACTGCGCTGAGTTTGCAGCTGCTCGATACGTTGGCAGAGCATCTTCTCGCTGTTGTGGCGTCGAATAAGGCAGCAGGTGTACAGGACGAGGCATCAACAGAGTACTCGCAGTCGACCCAGTTGACTCTAGAGGACTCGCTGCAACTGCTAGAGCTCTGTTACTTGTTTGCAAGGAAAACGGCAATTAGGTATCCGTCACATGCGCTGTGTAAGCTGTTGCAATGGCTCGTCGAGAGCGTTTCAGTCTCAGCATTGTGGAATGGCTGCCAAGTGGACACAGGACTGAAGCTGCAACTTCTCGTATTGACTGAGATGATTAAGATAAGTGCTGGTGTTAGGATTTACGCCAAGGAGATGAAGAAGATCAAGGATTTCTACCGTTCGTTGACGATCTTACTTAACAGCACGGAGGACGCTGAGCTGCTGGTGTTTAGCACGCACGTCTTGTGCTTATGGAGTCAATGGGAAGCAAACTTTTCAGTGATTTTTTTGAAATCTGGTTGCTTGGACTTTAAAATAGTTAATATGCTAATTTGTAGAAGCAGGCTACTCCAGGGGCCGCTACGGTACATGTTAATTAAGGTTTTACAAAACAAAGAGCGGTTCAAAGTGCAGAAGTCCCCGTCAATAAGCGTAGGGGATCGTCTGATTATTTTGCATAGGGAATTCTCAGCGCTCTTGTAAAATACATGTATCCCCAATCCATGGGGTCCGATATAAAGGGGTAGTACAAGCTACGCTTATTCAGGGGAACTTCTGTACATGCATTTGCTGATTACGTTGACCCAACATGTCGTGTAAGCTCGGATGACTACAGCTAAAGATTAGGGCGATAGCGCTATATTACGTTGACCCAAGATGTCGTGTAAGCTTGCGCGCGTCCAATGGTCGAAGCTGCTCACTTTCAAACTTTCTTTCCGAAGCACAAGCGATTAGAGACTACGAACAATGGCTCCGTCGACTCCAAAGCTCTTCACGTCCGTGACTTTAGGCGGCAAGAACCCCATCCAGCTCAAACACCGAGTGGCTATGGCTCCTCTGACAAGACTTCGTACGGGAGCTGAAGGTGAACCCAAATTCATCGCTGCAGAGTACTACTCGCAGCGTACCACCGACGGCGGTCTGATCATTTCGGAGGCCACTGACATCTCCAAGCAAGGCAACGGCTATTTCGGAGCTCCTGGACTGTACACGCAGGAGCAAGTGGAGGCGTGGAAGCCTGTCACCAAGGCCATCCATGCGAAGGGTGGCAAGGTATTCGCACAATTGTGGCACACGGGTCGTGTGAGCCATCCACTGAACCAACCGAACGGAAAATTGCCCGTGTCGGCCAGCGCCACCAGCATGGAGGCGGTGACAAGCCACGCTGTCGCTGCTGAGGGTCGTAAGGACCACGTGACACCGCGCGCTCTAGAAGCTGACGAGATTCCTGGAATTGTGGAGGACTACAAAACAGCGACGAAGAATGCCCTCGCTGCAGGTTTTGACGGCGTGGAGCTGCACGCTGCTAACGGTTATCTGCTGGAACAATTCCTCTGCGACACGACCAACAAGCGTACCGACCAGTACGGTGGCTCGATTGAGAACCGCGCGCGCATTCTGTTGGAGGCGATTGAAGGCATCCTCTCTGTGGCAGATTCGAGTAAGGTCGCGATTCGCCTCTCACCATATGGCATCACCTTTGCCTGTACGGATTCGAACCCGTTGGAAACGTATGGCTACGTGATCCGTAAGTTGAACGACTACGACCTAGCCTACCTTCACGTAGTTGAGCCTTATAATTGGCACTTCACGGGGCCGTTGGTCCCGGAAGGAGGCATTTCACCGGTGTTTCGTCCAATGTACAAGGGTGTGATCATTGCAGCTGGTGGCTTTAACCGTGAGACTGCCATCAAGAACGTCGAGGAAGGCTACGACGACATCATTGCCTTCGGACGAGACTTCATCGGCACACCTGACATTGTGGAGCGTGTTAAGGCCGACAAGCCTCTGAGTAAATTCGACACCAAAACATTCTATCCGCGAGCGTGGACCGACCCGTTGGAGGTGGGATATACCGACTATCCATTGTGGCAGGAGGACTCCTAGGAGGACTGGAGGAGTAAGGCTTTCTCAGATTAGTAGTACAACCTTGGGATAGATTTCTTAAAAAATAGTCGTGTTGCCTTCCAATCGAGAACTGGTACTTCTTTTATTGTAAGAGCTTTAAAAAAGTCCCATAATAATACCTGCTACTGGATACCTTTTAGAAATCTATAAGTAGACACTTTGAAGAGTCACTGTACATACAAGATTTGACAAGATGCCAGAGGCAGCGAAGAACGACAACTCGTCGGAGATCACAGGGCAGGATTACCGCAAGATATCGTCGCGACCGCACTTAAAGCACAATGACATGACAGCGGAAGTGTGTACAGAGACGATCGAGATCATCACGATGGCGTGCGATAAGCACGTTCCTATGAAGAATTACGAGACTGCAGCACAGCTCATCAAGCAGAGCATGGACAAGAAGTTCGGGTCGTCGTGGCATTGCTTCATCGGCGAAGGTTACGGATTCGACATCAGCTACCAGCAGAGGCACATGCTGTATCTGTACGTGGGCGAGATCGGTGTGCTCGTCTACAAGTGCTGAGATCACACAGAGAAGAAATTGACAGTATTCACGGTAGAACTTCAACGAGCTCCTCTTCTCCTTTTCTTGACAAAAATGTACTTGTGCACTTTTTGTGCCTACGAGAGCTTTATAGACCATGGTCGGCTACTCATTTTGCTACTTGCTACGTCGAACAGTTAGTTACCGTACTTTTTCAACAGCTACACTGTGTCCACTTCGCCCGAAAACTTGGTCAGTAAATCCAGTGTCTGCTTGAGCGCCGGTAAGTTATCACTGCCATGTCGTCTATAGCCTTGGCAAACTCCTTGCTCTCCAAGTACCGTTGAAACACTGAATTTTCCTGCTTTTGCCACGCCCTAGCACTTCAACGTCCGTTACGTATGGCACATCATATTTTCCATTCCGACGGTCGCATCCTCTGTCTTTTAATCATGTCGAAAATGAATTCTCGCTTCGAGAACTCCTTCCATTTCCGTTTTCCTGTCATTATCGGTTTTCTCCAACAGCTACATTCACAGGGATTTTGGTGGTTCCGGTCTCCCAAGTGGGCGGCTAGAATCGATCGACACCTCACACACAGCAAGTCGATTATGCTGACTCTCGTACGTCGCTCAGGGGCTCTGGCCCGCACGTCCGCCGTCCGCTGCGCCTCTGCGGTCCCTGCCACCTCTTCGTCCTCGGCTCCCGCCGAGCGTGGCAACATCCAGGAGCTGCTGGGCGGCAACGCCACAGCCCGCAACGGCGTCGGTACGGACCCACTCGAGTCGATCTCTTGACCCACAAGCTCCCTTAACCGCTGTCATTGCTCCCTCACAGAGTACGTCGTGTCCCGCGTGGATGACCTGGTGAACTGGGGGCGCAAGAGCTCGCTGTGGCCCATCACGTTCGGTCTCGCTTGCTGCGCCGTCGAAATGATGCACTCCGGTACGTTGTTGCCCTCTTGTCGTCGCTATATTTGCTGACACTTGCTCCCTCCTTGTAGCTGGTTCGCGTTACGACTTTGAGCGTATGGGTATGGTGTTCCGTGCCTCTCCGCGTCAGACGGACGTCATGATCGTGGCCGGAACACTGACCAACAAGATGGCGCCGGCTTTGCGCCGCGTGTACGACCAGATGCCCGAGCCACGCTACGTGGTCTCCATGGGCAGTTGTGCCAATGGTGGTGGCTACTACCACTACTCATACGCCGTGGTGCGCGGCGCGGACCGCGTGATCCCCGTGGACATCTACGTGCCCGGCTGCCCGCCCACGGCCGAGGCGCTGCTGTTCGGACTTATGCAGCTTCAGAAGAAGGTCAAGGGCAACAAGTCGTTGCTGCTTAAGTTGAGGAAGTAGACAGCGACGTTGACTGTTTGGGGTAAATTCTGCTCCGAGCATCTGTATAACGTTGAAAGAATACACAAAAGCAAAATGAATGAACATTTGCCAAAGTGCAACTTGCAACAAAAGTTGCCAATGTCAATTTGCAAACGTACCTTGCAAATGTTTCCGATTGGGTTATAAGGCCGGCCGTGCCGTACTTTCCACCAAGAGCAATCGTCTCCTTGCATGCAGTAATCAGGTGGATCTCTCAACAAGCTCGTCCTTCATTGGCTTGCACTCGGGTGCTTGACATCATCGTCGCTGCGAGTAAGCGGACGATCACAAATTCGAGACCTTGGGGGTCATATCCCTTGTTGCCTCCACGAGACCAGTTCATTTCCTTGAGAACCTGATTTAGCTGATCAGAGTTGATGCTGCGCGCTAGCTCAAAACTCCTTCCACGTGGTGTGTCTGTGCCAAGGCAAACACCTGTAGCCGCTATCAGCGACCGTGTCTTTCATACGACTTCAACTGCTGCGAACGAATCTGCACTTCAGCAGCGTGGTGACATCGGAGATCTCCTTGGTGGAAATGCTGTAGCTTGAAATGGAGCTGGTACGTGACGTGAACACTTCAAAAACACAATTGCTTCTGACTATTTTCTTTGCCCTTTCAAGAGTACGTCGTGTCTCGCCTCGATGACCTGATGAACTGGAGTAAGAAGAGCTCCTTGTGGCCTCTTTCCTTTGGCCTGGCCTGCTGCGCCGTCGAGATGATGCACACCGGTACGTCGTCTCTTGATTCTCTGCAATAAAGTGTCCGTAGCTAACAGCGCTCATAGCCGGCTCGCGCTATGACTTTGAGCGTATGGGTCTGCTCTTCCGCGCGTCACCTCGATGCACCGACGTCATGATCGTCGCTGGCACCGTCACAAACAAAATGGCTCCTGCTCTCCGCCGTATCTACGACCAAATGCCCGAGCCAAAGTTTGTCATCTCGATGGGAAGCTGTGCGAACGGCGGCGGCTACTACCACTACTCGTACTCGGTAGTACGCGGTGTGAATCGCATCCTTCCGGTGGACATCTACGTGCCTGGATGCCCTCCCACCGCCGAGGCGCTGCTGTTCGGTGTCATGCAGCTTCAGAAAAAACTTAAGGGCAGCAAGTCGCTGGTGCTCAAGCTGCGCAAGTAAGACTGCGCCGGAGTGGGCTCTTGGCTTGATTTCAAAAAGCGTCCACTTTTGGTGGCCATCATCGGCAAAGCGTAATCTTGCAAAGCCATTATCTAACTTTTTTTTACTATGGTCTGCAAATTCTTTAGAGCTCGACTCAGATTCAGTGCCGTGCCGATTGTCGTCAAGTGATCTCAAACTTTTTCCCATGAGTTGTGGCCTCTCATCCGACAGCAACTTCACCTTCTTTTGCAACCCACACGAGGTGGCCATCATCACAAGTGCAGGGATCAGCGCAATCTGCCGCTGTCCTTGGGCTGGACCTCCTGTCGTGATTCGGACCGCAGATTCCTGTGGTGTAGTCTCCCCCTTGAGTATATTTCACCTCAATCGATCACCATGTTCCGCGTCGGCTCTCAATTTCTGCGCCGCACCGTTCGTCCTGTGGTTGCTAACTCGTCGAGAGCGATCCAGACCACTTCCACGGTGGCTGGAGCTTTTCAAGAGAAGCTGCAGACCTCGCAGCGTGGCAACGTTGCCGACCTTCTCAATGGCAACGCCGCAGCCCGAGACAGTGCCGGTAGGCAATATGGCTATAGGCTCTTAGCTATCTTTCTCTAAACATCGTGTAACTATTTTTCCGTTCCCATATTTGCAGAATATGCGGTTTCCCGTCTCGACGACCTTGTGAATTGGGGGCGGAAGAGCTCACTGTGGCCCATTTCGTTCGGTCTGGCATGCTGTGCCGTCGAAATGATGCACGCCGGTACGTGTCACCACTTCAACGTATTCGTATCTTGACTATTGTTGCTACCACATGCGCTCTTCCTTGACTTGACCACGGCTGCTACTCGATCTCCCATCGAATTGATTCCACGCCTCCGAATTCGTTCGACAACTTGGCGGCCCACACGGAAGTACGCTGCAACCCGAACGATCTCTCCATGTTTGACCACTTCTCCCACGCTGCGAAGCAGTCAGGTCTCCCAGACGGCCTGGCGCTCACTGTCTGTGATCTCCCCCAGGTGCCAGCTTACAAAATGAAAGCTGGGAGCGGGAGCCACTGTCTTGTTTCAGCCGGTTCGCGTTACGATTTCGAGCGTATGGGGATGGTCTTCCGTGCCTCGCCTCGTCAGACGGATGTCATGATCGTGGCTGGAACGCTGACCAACAAGATGGCGCCCGCTCTTCGTCGAATCTACGACCAGATGCCGGAACCTCGCTATGTGGTGTCACTTGGAAGCTGCGCCAACGGCGGCGGCTACTACCACCACTCGTATGCCGTCGTTCGTGGTGTCGACCGCGTCGTGCCTGTCGATATCTACGTCCCCGGTTGCCCGCCGACATCTGAAGCTCTCATCTTCGGACTGATGCAGCTGCAGAAAAAAATCAAGGGCAACAAGTCCTTGCTGCTGAAGCTGAGGAAGTAGACATTTATGGAGTTCTGGCATTACTTTCCTGAAAAATCCTGTCTGCAGCTCGAGCACTCAACACAAAAAAAAATGTGAGCCCGGTTTCGGGGGGGGGGGGGGATGTCAGAACTTAAGCATCAAGAACTTAAGCATCACCCTACTTCTTTAAGCTAGCGAAACCACACTTTTACTTTCCCATTTCCAGGGTTGTCACCTTGAATTCCTTGTTCATAGCTCACGGCCTTCGTAGATGAATTTGAGGTGGACATCAACATGCACAATTGCTGTCGACATTTGCTGGTGTGCGCTTCCTTCGTGACTAATCTCGTGGTGGGTGGCTTCCTCGTTGCTAGTCTGGACCTCTTCTTCTTTCACTCACACGACGTCGCCACCGTTTTCTAAATCGCATACCAGTTTCGTATCTTACAACTGAAGCTCGCATGATGTTCCAAGTTGGCTCCCAGCTTCGCACGGCAACGAAGTCCGTAGCAGTTGCCAAATCCACTCGCACGATACACGCAAGCCTTACCGTCGCAGACCAAATTCGAGGTCCAGCGAACGATGACGTCACAGAACGTGGAAACATCTCCGATTTCCTCGCTGGAAACGCGATCGCGCGCAACAGTGTTGGTACCTTAAATTATTTTACTCAATGACGTGTTTGTGAGTATAAATCGTCCCTGTTGACTTAGAGTATGCGGTGTCCAGGCTTGAGGCTCTCTCTGGCCCGTTCAGTTCGGCCTTGCGTGTTGCGCCGATGAAAGGATGCATGCCGGTATGTCCATCTACATCAACCCGTCGTTTGAGACCGACTTAATTCATCACCCCTCTTCATATCGCTTGCCACAGCTGGTTCTCGATATGATTTCGAGCGCCTGGGTATCGTTAGACGAATGTAATGATTGTTGCTGGAACGCTGATTAACAAGATGGCACCCATTCTTCGTCGAATCTACGACCAGATGCCAGGACCCCGTTATGTGGTATCTCTCGGAAGCTGTGCCAAAGGTGGTGGCTTAATATGCCGTCGTTCGTGGAGTCGACGCATCGTCCCCGTCGACATTTATGTCCTAGGGCGCCCTCCAACCGCCGAGGCGTTCGTCTTCGGGATCCTCCAGCTCCAAAAAAAAGTATAAGGTAACAAATCGCTGCTCTTGAAACTGAGAAAGTAGCAAACCACGCGGCAGCCTTTGTAGACTTGATACGAGTAAGGCTTGATCAACACCGAGTCGGCAGCTTGAGTCCGAAACTGTGATTTGGAGCAAAACCTATTCTCAGCCACACATCGAAACTACACTGCGCGACGTAATACAACCTGAGTATCTTCTAGCTATAACCATTATGAATGGTGGCCTTCAACGACTGCTTATACACCAAAACAAACAACAGTTTTTCTTTTTTTGCAACTGATTATGCACATGTTCTCGGGTAGAAATCGTCCAGCCCACGTTATTTTATTAGAATTGATAACGTGGCCATCAGCCATCATGCATAATCAAAGGTCATTACAGTACATGATTACCTTTCAGCAGCTGCCGAGTGTTCAGAGGGAGAGAAATACTCACCAAAGATTTGTACACCATCACCATACATTTGATCTGCATCACCAAAGATTTGGTCATCCACCATGTGGTTATAAATCACCAAAGAGTTGGGAAACATCACCAATGGCAAATGCTTAGTTGACACTCTTTGTACGGATTGGTTTGTAGTGGGCATCAGAAGGTGTAAAATATCTTTATATATGTGATTCCACTGTCACGAGCAGCCTTTAATATATAGGAAAAAAGGCAAAGTCGTTTTACAGAAAAGTGTTTAGCAAATATAAAACAAAGGCCGCTGCATTTGTTCGTTAGTACCTGCGACGCTTGGTCTGTTCACAAGAAGTACGACGCGTGCTTGGTAGTGTATTGGTCGAGCGATTCTCCGTTGTCTCCACAAACCAACCTCTTGTAGTCTCACTATTTTCGCTGCTATCAACTTCACTTAAAGCTTGTTCTGCCGCAGTCTCTGAGAGGGGGTGTATCATTCTTGCACCGCGGACAGCGATGATATGTGGATTAACAAGATGATGAGGTGATGATGATTCTACAATTCGAGTAGGCTGTGACGGTCCATGTAATAAAGTTGCTGATGTCACTTCTTCGTGTGCTATGTTAGCGGGCTGCGACTCCTCCGAATTGTTGGAGCTTACCCAACCAGTTGGATTACTCACGAAAGTCAATACATTCTCGTATTCGTTTGAATTCCTCGAGCTTAATCCATGCGCTCCAAAGTGACGGTCAGATTCACCATTCAGATTCAGCGGGCTAATCGGTTCATGTAATTCTGGAGGTGCACGATATGTACCTAGACGAGATGCGTAAAAACTCACTGGGTGGCTTTGTTCAGGTGGCGACCCCCTCCACCTTGGTCCGTACAGTGGTCTGACGTCAATACATTGTATACTGAGCGCAGTAGTAGCTGTTTCGGATGGCGCTGTCTCTTTACTATTCTCAATTTGATTTTCGAGGGTGGTTAATCGCTCTCTTCTAAGTTGACCTCCAGTAGTTGCGAAAATTCGCTCTGCGTCGGGCATTCCTGGACAATGAATTTGCAGCTGCCGTGTTGCGTGAATTATGTGAACACAGAGACCAAACTTACCACTGAAGAGGCAACCACACAAGCGGGACACAGCGTTCACTAACCATCCATCGACTGGCATATTTTTCCACTGCATACGTAAAACGTGTATCGACTTGTAAGGTAATTTCTTGTTATCGGGCTCCGCAAAAAAGTCGTTGGCAGGGCAACTTTCATTGTCACCATAGCGCCGTTTTGGAAAGTGTTGGACTTGAACGAGTTGAGCAGGAATGCCATCAGCTGTGGGTACAATTTTGGCTGATAGCTCATGTTTACGAGTTGTCAAATTGTACAGAGATTTTAGGCGCTGTGACACTTGTGGAGAGCTTTTGAAAGTAAACTTTGTGTTAATAAAAACGTGTCGAGACTGATCTAAGCGCTCAATCATTTCGAAAGGAGCTGCTTTCTTCGACTTATTCACTAACTTGAGTGTTTTATGGTACTGTTCAAGTGGATTATTCGTAGCTGCGTATCCAGGAGGAGTATGAAATGCCTGCCATTGACTGAAACGAGGATGTAAAATCCACTGTGAAATTATATGATCAGCTACTTTGCGAAAATGCTCGCAAAATGCTGATGCAGAACGCCATGACGATAAAACGAGAGATCTTCTACTCAGGTATTCTTCCTCGTTTCGTGTGTAGTGAAGATTGTTCAGGTCCCGAAAGATGATATCGATAGTCACGCGCTCTAGATTTCCCTTAGTGGGGTCTTTCACGTTTTGACAAACGTGAAACCAACATATTAGCCACTTGGATTGAGGAAGTGCAACTTGACAAGCTTTGAACTGCGCATTGTCTGCGTCGGACATGATAAAGGCTGGTGAGAAGGCAATAAAAAAAATCTCGAATAATCCGCTTCGTATACGAAATACACCATGCTACATCTTTTCCGGTTCGCTGCGACGTGCAAAAGTAAATCATTGGGAAGAACTTGCACCGGCAATCCGAAAAACCAAAAACGAATACAGGAAATTTCTGTTTGACAATACTATGAGTACTATCGATATAAAGGATCGTTGTACACCGTGGATCGCGCTGCGCCTCCACGTATGTTTCCAGCATCGAAAAAGAAGTGATACCAATACGAAATGGATACAGTGCAGATCCGTCTCCCAGTTGGGAAGCAATCGTGTTCTCTTCGTGCTTTGTATCACAAAGTATCATCAAATCTGTGGGTTCATCAGAAATGTTTACCAGAGTATCGTACATGTGTTGTCTACACAGATCTATCACGGGCTGCATGATATCTCTTCGATGAGCCTTCCGCCATCGTTTGATGTGGCTCTGCACCTGGTTCAATAGTGGAGGAGGTCCTTCTAGTGTCATACGGGATATCTTTTTGCATATAATCCCAAACAGCGCCACAGGGGTAATTGTCGAGTCTTCTTCAAGTCGTTTATCAATACACTTCTTCATGTTATCTGTCAAGACAGGAAGTTTTGATGTAGGTGACATAACGGCTGTGTCCTGCATTGTATGGTCCCCGTCGACAGATACAGCAGCCAAATTGCTCTTCTCGCACGTAAAAACTCGGTATCGACACTGACATGTTACCTCAGTCTCTTTACATCTAGCGGAAGTGCACCTAGTTATAATTCTTCGCATGGTATGGCGTGTCATTAGGGACTCATCGTCATCAAATTTGCCGTGATCCAAGGTACATCGCTCTGGTGTATTTCTTTGACGACTTCGACTGGGCAGAGAATCCACAAATTCATCCAGTGAAACATCTTGATTAATGGCTGTGTTCCAGATTTCCACCCAAGGAATTCGCCTTCCTCGTCGTGTATCGCCCACCTCACTCTAAAGTACAGCCGATTTGCGTTAGTAAACTAAAAGAACTCGATGTTATTAAGCGACTATGTTCATGCCCCGGGTAGCGCCATCGTGGGCGGGTCGTTCATTGAGAGACGCCTCCTGAATATTCTGAAGTGTAGCGATGTGTTTCCTTGTGGTCTATTATTGCGTTGATTTAAATGTACCAGTACGAAACGACCACAATTGCATGTTTATATATAGCTTGCTGTAGTGGTGAAATCGTCCAAATCACTGGTGATTCGTCCGAATAGAATGGTAGGTGATCCCTCCCGATTTAATGGTTATGTTCTCTGGTGATTGTATCAATATTTGTGGTGTTGGAGTACCTCAGTGTTCAGCGTTGACCATTATGCTGCGCTCTCGTTTGATCCCTCAACTATCTCAATGATCGGCAACGATGCTGAAAGCTGCGGGAATCACCGGCTCTCCTCGATTCTTCCACACAACCTCGTCGATCGAGAATGAAAAGCCGAAGTCACCTGTTGCCGACTTTATTGTTGAGAATGCGACGGTCCATGACAGAACTGGTAGGTGGTCAAAAACTGAAAGCTCTTTGAGAGCAATCGATAAATTGCCGACTTTTCATAGACAGAATATGTAGTACCGCCTTGACAACCTCATCAACTGGGGACGTAAGAGCTCAATCTGGTTGTTGCGTAGTCGAATGATGCACTCTGTACGTGAATAATGGTAAATCTTAGCAAACAGAAAAAAACTTAAGCTTTAACTACTGGGTCTTGTTACAGCTGGCTCGCGGTACACGTTAAGCGAATGGGAATGGTATACCGAGGGTCTTCTCGTCAAATCGAGGTCACGATCCTTGACTGGAACACTGACCAACAAGATGGCGCTGGGCATGCGTAGTGTGCACGACCTGATGCCCGACGTGGTATTTATGGGCAGCTGTGCCGATGGTGGTGGATACTATCACTACTCGTACGCTGAGGTCTATGGCTACAACCGTTTCGTACTCCTCGGCTTCTACAGCTTCAAAAGAAGACAAGGTAAGGAAGTAGCCGCTATCTCCGGTTGCTACTCCCCAGGAGCTCGAGAAGAGTTAAAAAGTGGCTTCAAACGCCCGCTTTGTTGAATCAACCGCTTGTTTTGCTTTCGGTTCACCTTAACGTTTGAGAAAAATGTAATTTCTGCTGCGATAAAATCGTCGTTGTAGCTTGAGCTTCACGCGAACGTTGAGCATCTACCTGCATTAATTCATCCTTCAAGGTTGTGATGAATAAGTCAAGCTGTGCATCCACACCTGAAGGACAGTAATCTGCTGACCACGCCTCCAATTCTCGTCGCGATGCATTCAAGAGGTCATCAAGCTCTGCTAACGGTACTTTAGCCTTTCTCATCGCAAGCTTCCATAACGTATCCAGAGTATTAATTTTTCTATTGTCATGATTCACTGGGGCTAAAACATGAAGAAACGTGTTAAGAACGACATAATCGCACCGTTCTGTAGTCGAAACCCACGTCGGGTCGGATGTGTAGCCTCCTGTCTCCTTATTGAAGTCCCTCTCACGCGATTCGAGGCGTAAATCACTTGCCGCAGTGTTTGTTTCATAGTGGCTATGCCCACAGTTCGAGCACTTGGATGGTACTTCATCCCTTTCAGGTCTCACAACCAAACACCGTTCACACAAACGATGGTTCCTTACGCAGTGAAAAAAATTAAAAGCGTGACGCTTAGTTTTCACATCGGTACTCATTGAAACAAGTAGGTATTCCACACGATCTTTTTCTCGTAAGATATCAACTGCTCGCTGTCGTTGATGAGCTGAGAATGTGGTCGATGCAGACATTTTCACAAGGTTTCCAGCGTACAATAACGCAATGTACTCGCGAGCAATCATGCGCGCTTCGTAGACTTCTTGAACTCGCTGGTGTTGTATCATAACACGCGCGTGAAGTGAAAAAAACGATGAGAATTAAGTTAAAACGAGAATGGTTTGTGTTGGAAGTGGCGCGTAGAGATCTACAAAATTCGGACATTCTTCTGTCAGCCACTGATTAATTTGCTCCAAGTTCAGTAAATCCAATGGGAGGTTGTACCGGTCTGCAAGAGCGTAAAGCTGTTTGTGTGGCACTCGCCACGTCCAAATGTCATTTCGAATTAACAGCAAGAACGTTGAAGAAATATCAAGTACACTGTCTTCTTTTTTCGTCTGAATAGCAGTACGGATGTGATAAAGAACGCGGCTATGAAGTCGAGGCATAATACCATATGCCAGCTGTTCGCGCTTAACAATTCTCGCTCGATACGCCGATAAAAACCTCTTTGCCTTTATGTTACGCCACTGATTTAACCCTGCTTCTTCACGTTCTGCGATGAGGTTACGTCTCTGCTTTTCACTAAGCACGTAATGTAGCCAATGAGACCATGTGAGGTGTAGTAAAGTTTGAAGCCTTTTCGCTGCGAATTCCTTCGCTTGTCGCTTTACTTTTAACCAGAGCAAATCCAGCTTTGCAGTGCATAAAGTTCGGGCTTTAACGTCCAAGTACAAACGAGAAATTCGTCTGCCAGCTCGCCTTCGACGGAGAAGATAACGCTGAACCTTCGCTTGCTGGATATGGTACAGACCAGCGATGACTTTCGCACTTGCGTCCCATATTTTCTCGTTACGACTGGTTAACGCAGCTTGCATGCGCTTGTAACATGACTCTTTAGATTGGAGCATTCTGAACATACAACAAGTGAGTCTTTTTTCTATGAGGATACTATGACCGTCATTACCGGATGTGAGTCTGTCGTTGACGCTGGGTCTCGCGTATTTGTTTCATCCGACAATGAACGCCTCGAAATAATGCTTGAATTACTCTGGCAGCGACGTGAGCCACCGGTTCCTTGTCTCTTAATTCCTGGAGCTCTTTTTCAAGATCATGAGCTAATTCCTCGAGATTCGCTTCTTCGTTTTGGTAGGTTTTAACCAACCTGACTGCGTCTATGTGAGCGACACTGCTATCTCGGAAAGCAGTATTTTTTCTATTGACGTTCATCGCTTCTTTCTCTTTCTCGGTTACTTTATCTTGTATGATCGCGACGTCGAGTCGAAGCTGCTGAAGTTCCTGTTGCATATCCTCACACTTCAAGTGATACACTTCACGATCCTTTCGCAGACGTTCCACTCTTGTCAGTGAACATGTACCCATTGGTCGAGATGTACTCACTTGTGCTTTCGGACGAAGTGACCTCGAAACGTTTTCTGAATCATCACGGCACTCTTTCGAAATCGAGCAACACCTACACCATGATATTGTATGTAGATTCAGGAACGAGATCTTGCAAAGAGAGTACGATGGTCCGAACCTTGTCGGTTCTTCCACTTCTGAGTCATCCTCACTGTCACCAGAATGCGTTTCTGTAGCAAGTGTCTTTTACAATAAACCCATCAGCAAAAGCTTTACACCCACGTTCCGTAATTTGCCAACCTGCGCCATCGCCTCTGAATAGTTCGGATTCGAGCAATCCGAATTTCACTGCATGATACCAATCGGTAAGTTATTTTATTGTCTCTAAAATACTACGAGCCGTCGACCTCAAGTAGCGTTGCCGTGGAGATGACAGTGAGTCACCAGTCCAATGTTGTTGCTGTTCAGAGACGACAGTGACGAGTTGTTGCATCACTTGCTGCTTGCGTGATGGAGCTAAGACCTGATCACGTATGGCAGCCACCAGAAGACGACATCGTTGCAAGTCTTCGTGCAGTGAACTCTCGCGCATGGCACTTCCAGAAATACATCTTTTAATAAATAAAATACCACACAATGAAGGTTTTACTTTTTGTTATTTTGATTGAAAAACACGCTTACAGTCTACAAGAAAAGTTCACGTGACGTCATGGCTTCCAGCTCAGATGGGATACTTGACCTTCTCCGTACATGTCCTCGTCTTCCTCCTTCTACTGGGACATCATCTTGATTGGTCGCATTCGCGATGGCCTCAAGATACTCAGGCTCCAGTTCGGCCTGTCCTCCGAATTCCAGGTAAGACGGTAGTGACGAGCGTTCGCTATCGCAATATTCCGACAAGAGTTCCGACAGTGACGGAGGCTTGCGGTACTGACGTCGCGGTGGCTCGTCGTTTTGCGTAACCATACTCGCTGACAGTGCGTTGTTCGTGTTGGTAAGATCTGAGTACGATTCCGCCTCATTCTGGCAGTTATTTGAGTACGCTCGCACGAACGAGGACTCAGAATCCGTTATTTGAGGATCTTGGTACGGATTCGACATGGAGTTCTGCCAGTCGAGTTGAGACGATGCGTTGGACGACTGACTCTCACTATCGTCGTCGTCTACGTGTTGCACGCCCTCCAAGTGAAGTGGAGACAGTAGGTCACTCAACCGAGGTTCCGGAACGTACTCCACCCCTCCGTTCTCTGACGGCTCCTCTGTCCAATGTTGGAGATCCGTAAACGAACTTCGAGCACCAGCAGCGTCGTCCTTCCGCATTAAATGTGGGAGGTCAGTGAAGTCCATGTCACTGAATGTATCGGAGGCCACTCCATACATGGAATTGGGTCGGGAGATCAAGTTGGACACTTCGCTACTCTCCACACTGCCGTACGCAGCTCCCGACGTGTCCGACTTGAGCTGTACATGGGTCGTACTTGAGGATTCCCGCTGGATATGTACGTCTGGTAGAGCGTCTTCGGGTTTACTTTCCGAATCTTCGGAACTATCCGGCACATCAACCGGTATTTTCGGAACATCTCTGGGACCAAGAGAGTTCATCTGGAAGGCCTGGAACGCGCTAGACGTGAGGTCCGACAGGTCTCTGTACTCGTGAGCGTCTTCGCTATTCTTCTGCTTTCGCTCCTTTGACGCCTCCTCGCGACGATTGTGTTGCTTAGAATTTGGACGTCGTTGACGTCTCGGAGTCGGGAACTGCTCGTCATGTCGGAAAACATGCAGCGAAGAGCCGTAAAAGGACGGCGGACGGTCGTCACTCACCGTTTGTCGTAGCGGAGGCGCGATGCCTACGTCGTGATGAAGACGACGTGTGTCCGAGATAGTTCCTCGATTGTAAGGGCCGTCCTCGGTATTGTGACTACGTTCGATCTCCCGTGCGTAGACTTCCATCATCTTGGCTAAAGCTGCTTGTCTTGTCTCCTCCGTGACGTGTAGACTAGCACCGCGTTCTTCTTCATACAGCCGCATAGCGGACATGGCCAACCGGAAAGCTTCGTCGTCTCGGTCTTCCAGGTCGTCACTGCGATGTCGACGGCGAGTTGTGAACGCGCCAGCGAGATTTGAGTCACTTAGAGAAGTGTACGGAGACCCCAGCTCTGGTTGATGACGTACAGGAGGATCCGAACCAGTTCCAACACCTGAGGAACGGAATCTCGACTCAAAGTCAGCTGTATGGCGATGCTGGCCTCCACTCAGCTGTGTAAGGCGAGCATTACGCGCGTCAAAGTACTGTTGCGTGCGTCTCTGACTCTCGAACGTGTCTCTTTCCTCGCTTTCATGTCGACTACGGAAGCCAGTGTCACGACGACGAGGAAGGTGTCGAAACTCGTGACTACTTCTAGATCTAGATCTAGAACGTCCATCATCTGAAAGCTCAGATCTAGACACCCCACGACCAGAATTAGAATTGAAGCCATCGGATCCGACAGCACCAACACCGGCGTGATCCTCTTCGCCATATTCAGAGCTTAATCCAAGGGAATCTCCCGACTCATTACGTACGAATCCATGCGCACGAGGCCTCGTAGGCGGGTCACAGTGTTCACTCGATCCTGTTGCATACTGGTGCATTTTCTTCGCACGTTCAATATGTTCGCGACGCATTTGCTCTTCGTACTGCAACTGTTTACGCATCTGTTCACTCTTACTAGGTGGCAGGCCTAGTTCCTCGTCATCTTCCATATCGTCGTCTTTAAGTTGCTCTTCCCATGCGCTTGCACCTAATGGAGTATCAACTGGCAACGTCTCACCCGACGCACTGTTCATACCAAGCAAAGACTTGGCGTTATTGTCGAATCTCCGTTCTGTCTGCACTCTGGACTCGTTAAACGCGTTATTGGATTTCTTCAACATGTCCTCGAACTCTTTATTCATACGCTTCGCTTCCTCCATATCAGCCAATCCATTGACATCTTCGTTCTCGAAATAAAATTCATTCTCGTCGATAGAATGGTGTCGGTTCTCAAGAATAATCATCGACTCATCGTATGCAGGGCGCACTTGACTGTCGTCTAGCTTTTTGACGCCACTGTCGACAATTCGAATCGAACCGTCCATCATGGGTACACTGACACCATACACTACGGATTCGGAACATTCCAAACAGATGCGCACCTTTTTAGCACCAACGCGGGCGTAATCCAGCAGATATTCGTTGCCGCAAGGGTTGCAGACGACTTTGCCACACTTTCGACACAGCCGCCGACGATGGAACAACCCGAACCGCGTCTCACAGAGCTGACAGTGCGTAACGCCCTCTTTCCCAGGCAACTCCAAGTCTCCGAGTAACTTTTCTTGTGTCAAGCGCTGTAATTGGAAATGGTGATTCACTTGGGCAATATTCTTGATGCGACGCTTCATCACCAGAATTTTTAGCCAATTAGGGGCGTTCCCTTTGATGTCCACATGCAACGTGTGCACTGCGTCCACACACCCTTTCTCGGCCGACTCGGTGAAGATATATCCGGATCGATAGAAGCTGCCACGGACGAGACCGTGGCTACGGTTCAAAGGTGGACAGAATGGTAGACGGATGGAGTGGATGCTCCTCACCCAGCCCCGTCGCTTCGTGTTGGCGTCAATAAACTCGTCGTGACACTCGATGTAGCAGAAGTCGCGGGGTCGAACGAGTTTATTAGGAGATTCCACTGCTGTCCACTTGACTGCGACGTAATGTTTTGGGTTATCCGGTGTGGGAGTTGCAAGAGTCAGCAACGTCTTTTGATCCAGCAAGTCTTTGCCTACGGTTTGCGCAAAACCTGATAATTTCTCGGGGGTGTCAAGTTTGAAAAAGTCCGAAATCTCATCGATTGTTGCACGAATTTTGCAAGACCCGCGCAAATAGGTAAGTGCCTTGGCATCTTGTTGCGTATCACTGGTCCCGGAGTTGTCCACACCTTGAAATACGTCCACACCGTCTTCTGATGATAAATGTAGCCATTTCATAGGCCCATCGTCTTGTCTCGAGTAGTACACGACTTCCTTGCAGGCGTGTTTCGCGAGACCTAGTAGATATTTGTTCTCTTTGGAGCTGAGTTGTGGCACGGGGAAAAAGTCGTCAGGTAGTGGCAATTTGCCGGGAATGTAGCCGTCTGCGGAGCTGTTGTAGCCATGTTTCAGGTTGGCACAGTTGGTCGAGTTGGCCATGGATGAGTCCATGTCATTCCGACCGGAGCCTCGTCCAGACCGTCCAGATCGACCGGAGCGACCGGAGTGCGACGTCGAGTGCGTCGAGCCCCGAATGAAGTCGGCGCCGAAACTTGCCATTCCCGACAGTTAATTGCGCTGTTGCCAGACGGTTGTGAAGGTGAGTGGCAGGTGTTAAGCAAGCACCTACACCTGAGTGAGCAAAAGGTCTCGGTGGGTCTACGTCCTCAGCTGCCACAAAAGACAATTGCAAGTTGCCGACACTGTTTGACGCAACAGGTTTGGAACACGAAGCCGACTGAGGAAGTTCGCACCAAGTACGGATCTCTTGCGCGCGATGCAAAGAGCCAGTTGCACGGAAGGCGACAGAGTTGGCTGGAGCGACGGAGCTTGTTGACCGGCAACACAACCACACTTTGACCGCCAGTCGAGCTCCGTTGCGTTGAGGTCGGCGCGGCGGTGACGGCCTGCTGTTATAAGAAGCGAGCGCAGTCTCTGACGTTCTCGCTGTGGAGTTGCCTGGACGTGCACAATGAAATGTTGAGGCACCAGAGTCGGGTCGGAATTGCCCATCCCCTCCGTGTCAATGTCGCTTCGAATGCGCTTTTCAACCTATAGATGGCATTAATGAATAATTTCATCAAATGAGGAATGCCACACCTGTCCAGCATACAATACTCGGGTAATCTGTTTTGAAAAATACTAAAGCGTCGTAAAAAGGTCGTTGGGACCAAAATTTGGGAGTCTCAAGTACATGTACCAGTACCTCAAGAATTGTAGAAGGCAATGTTCCTGCAGGAGTATTATCTGCGCGCAAAGGTTGTACTATGGTCGACTTCCCTTCAGGTCAGGCGGCATAGCCGATTCTACCTTGACCACCATCGATGATGGCATCGCCGCCTGGGCACGGCAAAATGGTTCTCAACGTCATCATCAAATGCCTATTTTGCTGGGGGGGGGGGCTACTGTATCGCAATTGACAGTTTTTGCGATTTGGCACAGCAGATAGCCCATTTCCTGTCTGCGGCGGCGATGATGTCCATCGTAGTGATCCAGACGCTGGGAGCGATGCATGCGCGTGTAATGGACCAACAAGCAACTTGTACTAATACATACTGTAACATCACCGTGAGCGGACATGATTGTCCTTGGGAGGTTGGCTCTGGACGTCGTCGTCCAGTGGACGAGAATGTCTCGCAGAGTCGGTCGAGTCGTCATTGACGACTCGACCGCTCGTCAACAACGACACCGAGAATGTGTTGGATTCGGGGTGTTGTGGGTCGCCAATTGCAGTGACTGGCTCGCGTTGGCCAAGTCATCGACCGAGGTATCGTAGCGACAGCCTCCTCGAAAAAAAGTTCCGTGTCGGATTGACATTCCCAACGGGAAGGCACGTCAGGACGTTGAAGGTACATGCACCATGACGTCTAACTACACCGAGAGATTGCTTCTTCGATTTTTTCACTTGGACAACAGATATTTTACTTGGTACCAACAGACTGGGGACTATCTACATGCAGTCGCCCGGTAGGTCGACGACATACACACTGTCTTAACTACAGTACGCCTTACGATTCCTGAGGCGTGGGGCTGCTGATCCATTTGCCGTCGAATAGAACAGTGCCGGCAGCCTTCGTAGGAGTCGCAACGGTGTTGCACTTGCAACTAGGTTTCACGGTTCCGTTCTCCATATACTCGGGACATCCGCAGTGGTCACAGAACCCCGGTCCGTGTCGGGGTGAGCTCACCACCGACGCAACGTCGGTCTCCTTGCTGGCTCGCGCCGGGACCCACTCACCTTGAGACGTTTCCATTAACTCTACATCCTCGCCGGCAGTTTGATCCAGCGCTTTATTCGCACGTAGACGATCTTGTTTCTTGCGTTCTGCAGCGGTATCCAGCTGCTGCTGTCGCTGTTCCTGGAGATACCGCTCCTTAACCGCTATAGACGATTGCGAGTCGACTGAAAACTGGCTGCTTGGTGGCTCGTCATCACGCGGTTGTTGACGGTGGCGACGCAGGTTCTCCAGCTCCTTTTGGCGTTGCTGGATCTGTTGCAGCACCGACGCAGCAGGTTGAGGTTCACGCTGTTTAACGGACTCGGATCGACGAACCGGCGACTCAAGAGACTGTTGTCGACGACGAGCTTGCTCCTCTTGATACTGCGCCATTTCCTCAAAGTCGGACTGCTGACGACGACGTGCCTGTTCCTCCTGATAACGAGCCTGCTCTTCGAACTCCTGCATCTGCTCGGAATGAAAATTGTGTCTCTGGTGCTGAGACATCTCGTTCGTAGACTCCCGCTTCCAGTGGTTAAACAAATCAACCATTTCCTGCTTCTTCACTGATGCAGCGGCCACTGAGGCCCGAGGTTTCTGGCCTGGATGCGTCTTGTTCTTCTCATCATCACTGGCACGACGCTTTGCCTTCCTCGGAGACGCCACAGGAGACAGAGGTCCTTGCGGTAGGGTACCTGGCTGTTCACCAGTCTCACTTGCGCGTTGTTGGTCTTGCCACCAACGCGTGAGGTCCGTGGTAGTGCGGATCTCCCCCAAGCCATCGATCGTGTGCTCTTCATAGTCCGTCAAGTCACTGTCGCGGTAGTCAGACGACAGTCGCGCGCCAGCTTCAGCTGTGAGACGGACAGCCTCCTCGCCTTCGTTGTCGCTGGGCTCCTGGTTACTACTGAGCTCCGACGACATAAACGAAGGGAACCGATCGATCGGTTGACGTCCGGCTTTCTCACTCGTGGACACACTGCGAGTCTGGGGGTGTTGAGGCATCACTTCCGCCTCCGGTTCTTCCTTTTCTTGCTGCTCCGCCACTCGGGAAGAAGGAATACGACTTCTAGCCTGCTCCTTCTCACGCTTCTTTTCGCGTTCAAGTTCCTCACGTAAAAACAATTTCTGTGCCAATTCCTGCTCGTCTAGCACGATACCGGAGTCGCGGTCGTACACCTGCATCTCGTCCCATAGCTGAACACGTCGACTTAGCTCAGTGGCACGCACCTCCAAGTCGCGTTTGATCTCATCTTGTTGCGCAAAAAAAGATGCCGCGTCGCTCGGTCGGTCCAGCATCGATAACGAGCGTCTCCGTTCGTGTTGCGGTGGCTCCAGTAAACCAGGATGCGTGACACCTTCCACTTCCGTTACCGGCTCCTTGCCGTGTCCTCTTACCGGACACGTGCCGGCACGCGTCGTGTGTGCTGAAATGTGCGACTGCTTGGCTTCTGCGGAGCACACAGTGCAGATACGAACCTTGGTGCGTCCTACAACTGGAACGTCAAGCCACCAGTCGTCGCTGCATCGTCGACACACACCCTCGCCACATTTACGGCACACGTAGCGCTTAGACTTGGTCGACATGTTGGTAATCGAGGCCAGTGTGTCTCGGAGGCCCCCAGCAGTCACAAACTCACGGAAACACAAGTTGCAACTGCCACGTGTGCGTTTCCTCGCTGGGATATCCAGATCGCCTAGTAAGGGGCTGCTACTTAGTCGCTGTTGCTGCAACAGCTTGTCTACTGTTGCCAGAGCTGCAACCCGTTGCGCTAAGAATGTAGGCTGCAGTAATTCCAATGCCATTTTACCTTTCAAGTCCAACTCCATGGTGTACGTCACACTGAGCACGCCTGGTTCGTCCGTCTCCACTGCTGTAAGGCCAGATCGATAGATACTGGCACGTACAACCCCGTGCTCCTTCTCTAATGACGGACAGCAAGGAAGCTTTAATGAATGCAGCGATCGAACCCATCCGCGTCTCCCTCTTGCATCTGTAAACTCTTTTTGACACTCCAAGTAGCAGAAGTCTCGGTTCCTAAAGAACCTGGACGGAGATGCCACTAGAGCCCATTTCACGCCCACATATCGACGTGGTTGTTGCCCGGAAGGAGATACGAGTGTATACAGCGTAGAGTGTTGCACCAAGTCGGCGTTGAACAGCAACAAATGGTCCGCAGCTTCCCGACTCGAGTCCAGTTTGAACAAGAGCGCGAATTCCTCGATACTCGCGTGGACGTCGTCGCTGATGGCTCGTACGCACGTGGCGTCTTTGGCTTCACTAACGTCTTGAGCAGCGCCACGCAGCACGTGGATATTGCCCGGCGCGCCTCGAGGCCGCTGTGCCGGACGCCACAGCACGCTGCCCGGCTCGTCCTGAGCCAATGTGTCTTTGATCAGAGCATTAGACGTCTCATTGGCCACACGCACGAGATGCTTCTTCATACGCGGCTCCAGATCTGGCCGAGGGAAGAGCTCGTCCACCGGAGGCAGCGTCGGCTCTGAATGGGACTTGGCCGAAGCCACGGACGGAGACGGCGCCGGACGCGACATATTACGCGTCATGGTGTGCGGGATAGGCATCGTGGCCGGCGGCATGACGCTGTGTCCGCGGTTCGGACGCACGTCAGACGCCGCGGGCTTGGGCGAGGGCCGCGCGCTGGCGCTGCGCGTGCGCAGGCCGTCGAAGCGCATGACAATCGTTTCTTCCGACCGTCAACGAGAATTTACTGAAGTGATACACTGGCTGGATTGGGCCGCAAAAAGGTTGTTGCGTTGTGCACGAGATCCGGCCTACGAGTGAACTAAAACAGGGCGGGAGTGATTGTTTTGTCGAAAAGGCGGCGGGTAGACTGGCCAACTGTAGGTGCGACCAGCGAGGCTAAAATCGTCAATTCACTGCTATACGCACCTTAAAAGAATGGAGACGGGTGAAAAAAAAATGCTGTGGTCTCGGAACCCATGGTGTTTTTCTTTAGAAAAAATATATGTAGTTGATTATGTTGTTGCGTAGTGCGAGGTCAGGGAGATTGCAGCCACATGGTCTCAATGACAGTCCCATCCGGGCCATTTTCTTCCACATAGACTCAGCACTATGTTGGTGTGAAATTGGTGTAACACGGTATTCTTTTGTAAAGACAACCTTTTTTGCGCGCGTCCAGTTTTGACTTCCTTTGAGTATGGAGTGGCCGGACGAGAAGGAGGTGTTGCTGGCGACGATCCGTAGGCAGGAAGAGGAGGCCGCGACCCTCGCTAAGCGCTTCAAACTGCTGCAGAAGACGCTCAAGGAGCAGCAGAAGCTGCTTGACAGGTACCAGCACGCGCTCCGCACCGCACAGACCTCCTCTTCGAAGAACCAGCAAACTGCCACAACAATTGACAAAACAAGTAACAATACCAAAACCACTACGACTATTGTCAAACCTAAAGAGGCAACTTCGACGTGGATGAAGAAGAAGACAAGCGATGTATCGGGGTTAGAAACTATTAGAGAAGCTCCTGCACCAGCTCTAGAGAAGCAGGAGGTTCAGGAGGCAAAAGAAGAGAAGAAAACAATATTCAAGCTTGCAGTAAAGAGAAGAAGTGGCGCACTGGCTGCCACATGGGCCGAGGAGAAGCGGAGGATGTTTAAGAAACCCAAATGGGAGAAGACACTGGAGCTGACAAATTCAGGTGCCAACAAGGAGAACGTGCGGACAGGGCAGACCACAGACAAGCGGAAGGGTTTTGCGTATGTTGAGGTGGTGCGTAATCGGGAAGAGAGGAAGGCGCTGCCAGGACACGACTGCATGGAGTGCAAGAAGTATTATGATGCACTAGGCGCACTTGGTGCGGTAGACGCTGCGGCGCACAAGAACAAATGCTCACGTCATCGAGCAAGGTTCGAGCCGTACCAGACACCGGATGACTTCTGGAGACTGAGCTTTCCGGACTCCGAACCCGAACCAAAATCACCTTCGCTAATGTGAGGTCTACGTAAGTACGGTTACATATTTCAAGGGTCTATTACCGAATTGGTCAGGGTCTAGCTAGACCAGAATATATTTTGTCCCAATTGTGATTAGTGTAGATACAAAAGGATAAAATCTGATCAAGGTCCGGATCCAGACCATAGAAATAGTGTAAAATGACAAAAAACACACACAAAAGTTTTTGTTTCTTCGAGAAAAAGACACATTCTCCTACTCCCCTAACAATCGGAAGATACCGGTACATGCCTGCGTACTACTTGAAGTATGATTTATCATACATGTGATATTTTTTGCTAAGCGCAATTAGCAAGCCAATCAAATAGCAGCAGCCAGCAACGTGTGGTGACTACAAAATATAGCACAACTTAGCAACATCGATTCTGTGTTTTGATTGGCTTAAAACTTAAGTATTCCTGACATGAAGCTGAAATTAGTAACACTGGAGGCCTTCAAAAAAATATTATGACATTTTAGCATTATGACATAATATTATTATGTATACATGTAATTGCGGCTACATATAGAAACGCTTCTCCACCTACGCGATGTAGGCTGTTAGTGTATAGCACTTCACAAAACAGAGCACAACAAACCTCCCTACACAAATACCTCTGTAGCTCACTTTTAGGTATACCAGGAGGCAGTTTAATTATCGCACCACCAGCCATTCTTGCAGCGGCATAGCACACCACCGCTGCTCGCTCCTCTAAAATCACTTTTTCTGTTCTCGTATTTTCATCAAGTACTCTTACGCTCTCTACGATACATGCCATAGGTTATGAGCCCAAGCCACGCCTCAAGCGACGACTTTCCCCGACTTGTCGGCACCGACAACTTCGACGTGTGGAAGACCCGCGTGTGCGCAGCCCTCGATGGCAAGCACCTCCTCGGCTTCGTGACCAAGCCTGAATTCGATGGCATCTCCGACGACGAAAGTGAAGAAAGCGGGAGCGACATGTCCGACGTGGACGACCCGCCGAAGTTCAAGCCGGCAGATGTCGCCCAAATCGACTCCGACGCTGTGGACTACGACGAGAGCGACGACGACCTCAAGCCACCGTCCGGCTCCGACGATGAAGACTCCGACGAGAGCTCTGACTCTTCCGCCAAGGCTAAGAATCTGCCGGTCGTACGCCCGATCAACCTCCGCAAGATGCGAAATGAGCGCCATCCCCTAAGCCAGCGCGAACGCCGTCGCCAGGAAGCCAAGACCAAGGCGTTCCTGATGAAGACCATGGATAGCACGCACGTTCGGCTGGTCCAGCATCTCACGACCTCGTACGCCATCTTCTTGACATTTGCGAGAAGTACGAAGGCGCAGCGTTTCATGGCGACCCCTACTTCATCCAGCACTACTTGATGGAGATCAAGTACGAGGATGGCTCAGATTTAACTGAGTTCTTTCTGAAGCTGAAGAACGCAATGAAAGCCGCGTCTGAAGCCACCGAATCGGTGATGACCGAGAGACAGAAGTCAATCTATCTGTTCCACTCGATGCCCAAGTCCCGGAAGACCGATCTCCGCATCTGGAAGGGCCATCGGAAGTACATCCCATATGAAGACCTCAAGCAGATATCGAAGGCAGGGTCCACGACATCCAAGCTCAGGGGTGATACACGCTCTCGAAGGGAGCACCCGAGACAAGCGACACCAAAAATGAGCGTGCTCTAGTGGCTACCGGACCTTCTGCCCAGTGTAACGAGACTCGTGGTGAGGAAAAATGCTCCTACTGTGACCGTCCGCGTCACAACATTCGTCAATGTCGCGGCCTGCAGAAAGATCTGCGAGATGGTCGAGTGAAGGCTGGCACTGTCTTGTCTGCCAACATTGCATTCAAGAATACCGTGACTCAAGAGCATCCCTACTGCGGCTCCAAGAACTGGAAGCAAGGACGCCCCAACAGCAGAGGTGGTAACAACCACAGAGACTAGAACCGTGGTGGCCGTGGCGAGAAGCACAATCATGCGAATCGTGGCAAGTAACGCGGTCGTGAACAAGGCAACAATCTTCCGTTTGAATTCGAAAATGACGACGACGGCGACAATAACGGCGAGAACAGCCGAAAGGTGTTTCATCAAGGCCATCGCGATGTCGGTTTGATCGCAGTTGCGACGTCAATCAACCCACCAGTGAGCCTCACAGCCAAAGCTAGTGTTCAAGTGGACCCTACCTGGACCATCGCCTCTGGATGTACGCGCCACGTGACGCACGAATCCCAGTGGTTCAGTGAAATCTTCACAAGTGGTGGATCGATCACTGTGGGAGGCAACAACCAGACCGCAATAGTAGGCTTTGGACGTGTTGAACTGGAACTCACTGACTCCAAAGGCAACTCGAAGATGCTCACTCACTGCAGTTCAATCTGCTGTCAGTCCCGGACGCCGTGAAGCAAGACTACCGCTTCAGCTTTGATCGCAAACAGTGTGCTGTACAGACAGACCAGCGCTTCAAGATCAAGGCGGCAATGGCGACCAACACTGAACTGTATCAGTTTCAGTCTCAACCAGTGGTGACCGCAAAGGCACTTGTGGCCTCGGGTAAGCAACGAACTTTTCTGCTTTTGCACAAACGTCTTGGCCAATCTAACGCTCGCATTCTGCACGAACTATCAAGGAGCCAAGCCATTGATGGACTCGATGACTCTGCAGCTGTAGACCGTTCAGCTCAGTTCTTCTGTACTTCATGCACGTTAGCGAAGTCACACCGCGCACCATTCTATCCTAATAGCGTTGTTGAACGTGCCACATCTCCCTTGGGAGAAATGCATTCAGATATCTGTGGTACATTTCCTGTGACTAGCCTTACTGGTTGCCGATACTTTGTGACCTTTATCGATGACTTTCCCAATTCATGTTCACCTATCCTATAAAGAGCCGTAGCGAACTATACGAATGATATGAGACTTTCAGGAGGAAAGCCCTAAACATCTACCGACGCAACGTCAATGTACTTCAGCATACTCACGTCATTGAAGACCACGATATTCAACGGTTTCAAGCGGATAATGCGAAAGAATACGAGAAACTTGGCCGCATAATCTTTCAGAAGTATGGTACCCACGCTCAGTTTACGAGCGCGTACACACCTCAGCAAAATGGTGTTGCTAAACGACGCATGCGAACTATAATGGAACGGGTACGAGCCCTACTGTTGGACGGAAAACTCACAAAGCAGATCTGGGCGGAATGTGTCTGTCACGTGGCCACGCTGATCAACATGACACCTAGCTCCAAGACAGCCCAACGCACTCCATTTGAAATGTGGTATAACAGACTACCATCCATGCAGTAAATGAAAGTGCTTGGATGCAGTGCATACACTCACATTCCTGATCAATACCGAGACAAACTCAACGACAGAGCTAGACTGTGTATGTACCTTGGCGTCCCTTATCACAAGAAAGGATACCGTCTGATGGAACTCAACACCCATGCTATTGTCTACAGTAGGGATGTAGTCTTTAAAGAGGATAAATTCCCCTCTCTCGCCAACTTGATGTACAGCACAGGATACGCAGATGCAACAACCTGCACCTCCACTAGTACCTGAAATTGCAACGCATGCACCGCAATGGTCACATCCGTACCGCCTACACCTGCGGAGACCACCAATCAGCGCAGACCTCCATCATTCAGGGAGGCGCTCGATGATGATAAAGTGATACACTATTCATTTAGAACGGAGACGCGATTTGATCCTCCATCTCCTCCTGCACCTAAGTGGCCCCGTCTAATACATGACACGGATGTAACGTTCAATGCTGAAGAAGATTTACAGGAAAAGGAAGAGCGTAAACAATTACTGTACACTTTACTCGCCATTCGGTATGTGTCAGAGCCCTCTACGTATCGAGAGGCCATGCAGTCTTCTCATGCTCATCAGTGGTCCAAAGCAGCAAATTCGGAATACAAGTCCCTCATGGACAATGAAACATAGGTGCTGGTACCACCACCTCAGGGACGGAAAATCCTTACAAACCGATGGGTCTTTGTAGTAAAGTATACCGGCACAGGATATATTGACCGCATCGAAGCGCGTCAGATGATTAAAGGCTTTCTCCAGGAATATAGCATTGACTACAATGAGATCTTCTCCCCAGTGATTCGAACGGAAGTCCTCCGACTCCTCCTTACGATCGCAGCATTAATCGATCTAGAAATTCATCAGATGGATGTCAAAACAGCATTTCTGAATGGATTCTTGGAGGAGGAGATCTACATGGCTCAACCGGAAGGTTTCAAAATCCCGGATAAGGATCACCTAATGTGCAACCTTCTTAAAAGCCTGTACGGGTTGAAACAAGCTCCACGTGTTTGGTATCAGACACTATATGTCTTCCTTGAGAGTCTTGGGTCTCACAAGCTTATCAAAGACCGATGCGTTTTCTGTCGCACGCGCGACAATGTTACTTGCTACATCGCAGTGTATGTCGATGACCATCTCATTTTTGCACCAACACCAGCCCTCGGTCGCGAGCTAAATCAGCCCTAAAGAACAGCTTCTCCATGACAGATTTAGGGGAGGTGACGTACTTACTCGGCTGTTCTATTTGACGTGACCGTAAGAACCGAGCGATCTTTATCCACCAACACAAGTACACTACGAGGGTCCTTGACCGCTTCAGCGAATGCATTCCGTACCCGATTGCAACCCCAGCAGAGAGGAACGTTAAACTTTCCTCAAGCAGTCAATATAGCAATGATGCGGAGAAAGATGCGATGAAAGACATTCCGTATCGTGAAGCAGTTGGTAGTGTTATGTACCTTTTGGTAGGCACCAGGTCTAACATGGCATTCTATCTACGTGAGGTCAGCCGATTCCTAGCTAATCCAGAAATGGAGCTCTGGAGTGCTGTCGCTCGAGGTCTCAAGTATCTCTCAGGTACAAAATACTACGGACTTCTTCTTGGTGGATCAACTGATATCACACCACAGAGCCTAGCAAATAGCTTGACAGCGTACTGTGACTCTGCCTACGCTAACTGTCCCGAAACGAGA